CAAATAATCGGTGAACGAAACTGCGGCAGCTACAACCACTGTACGACGAGTACGCGGTTCTTACAGCTGACAATGATGATGATGATGATGAAGTAGACGTGGTCTCAATTTTTCCTTCAACCTCGTGTACTAACTGAAAACCAAATTTCACTCGAAGAATGAAATACTCTCATTTGCAAAAGGCTTTGGTTTTAACGGTCATCTCTTTGTAAAGTTATTCGGATAAGAGCAAATATTTGGACAGTGCGGCACAACGTCAAACAGCAGCCTTAGGTTCATTATCTGGCTGAGGAGAGTAAAATCAACCAGTTCTCAAGAAATAAGGCTCAAAATAGTGCAAAATTGCTTCTGAATACGGGAATAACTGAGAATACGTCCTCAGTACGTGTGCGAGAAAGAATTTGATTGGTAGTCTGTTCCTACAGACGAAGACGAGGAAAGAGGTAATGAAATATAAAAAAACGTCTTGCTGGTAAGACTGGTAGATTGTCATGACAGCTGCAAAGCTTTTATGCTGCAGACCCATGAGAGTTCTGTCCAAGCAGTAAATCGCTCAAGAATAACTTTGATCTATCGAACCGGACAGGTGCCTTACGTTGAAAAGGGTCAGTAACAACTGCAATAACTATTGGGGCTGTCAGGTTATCGGAGAATTCAAGAAGTCGCTCTCTCTTTGCTGTGTTCTAAGTGACAAAGTTTGGGTGTCAGGCAGCCACATGTTTTAGAAAATCACACGTCTCTATTTGATTATCTAGAAAAACAATAAAGTCGTTTGTACTGTCCTATTTTGTAGGTTTGAGATAAACACCTCGGTTTATGTCGGGCATTTAGACATTCACTCGCCAAACAAAAGAAGATACATCCCACCTTTGTGGGTGGGAGGGTGTCCCTAACTCAGAGGTTTTGCTGTGTACTACAATATCACTGGTTGTTTTCAAATGAGATTTTGTTTCTTAACCGAGGCCAATCTATATTGTAGAACCGAGTGGCAATGTTTAGTCATTCCATCCCTATTCGGAATCATCAGTAGTGCATACCTAACGAAACTCCAATAAAGAGTTAGTTAGTAGTTTGGACACTTCATTACCATGGCAGAATCACACTGGTGGAATTTCCAAGCGTTTTGTGTGTAGTTGAAGGTTAACTTAAAAACCTGCTATGCCGATTATGTGCAGCGTGCTCTAACCTACTACTGCTGGATATCAATGTGAGTAGTCGGTGGGTGCATAGCAGACGGCTGCCGCAAAAGTTTTGAGCGTTCGCCGGAAAAACGTGACCGCGCTGCACCCTCAGAGGAAACCGATTCTCGTTCAAATAAAAGTGCTCGTATGTTGTCAGAATGCTTCTCAGGAAAACACGCTTGTTCTGTGGCACGGAAGTATCAGTGTGAGAAAAATTAGCTGATGATGATTTCGTGGTTAAAAACATGGGGTCACCTATGACATACCGGTGCATACCAGTGCACATTTTACCGTGGTAACCACTTCTTTTACGGAGATGCTACCTTTCAGGGACATTTGCAAACAGTTTATATTTTGGTGCTTCGTTTCGATTGTACACACCAAATGACCATCTGATCCTTATGATTAACAAGTGTTTCGGAACCACTGTTTCCACACAGGTGAACTATCGTATCTTTTTGATCAATACAATATCAACTTGAAGCTCAGTCGCTGGCCGAAACTGATCGAACTCACAGATCGCCAACTGGCACGAGTTCGAAAGCATTCTGGCAGTATTACATGTGAGAAGTTTGAAGAAATGAGTCAAACAATGAAGACAATTTGGAACAGTACGTTCTGATTCTGAGTGGTTCGCCGATCTGAGTGTCCTTGTAAAGTCGTCCTAACTAGTTCCGGCTACCCAAAGTTTCGAAAAAGGCGGTTAGGTGAACAAAACTGCAACCTAGTGAGGACTGTCCATCAGCATAAATCAACCGTGGTTGGGTCTTGTCGTTTTCTGGTCCAGTTGTGTAAACATCCTGTGCGCAAAAGTGTTTTTCCCAGTATGGACCAACTTTATTCAGTCTAGCGAACTACACTCATTTGCAAACTAATTTGGTTTTGTGAGAGACTCACCTGGAACCCAGCTGAATCTCTCGGTTTTGATATTTCCAGGCAACTGAATGTGCTGCACCGGGCCGCCTCATATTTCACTCGCTACGATATTCGAGATATCACGATACATATATATTTTGTAATACACTGCTGTCGCGGAGTTTTCAGCAACCTTATGAGTAGTGCATCACAAAAATATTTATTCCTTCTAGTTTGGATATGTTCTCCATAAGTGGCAGTTTGTAGTATTTGCTCAAAACAAGCGCTGGGCCGACCGTTCTTTGCAAGCAGGACATTTGGACTGAAAAGTTAAACCCTATTGGTCCTCAGTATGGTTGGTTTCTCGCGGTTTACAACAGTATAAGAAAGTAGTGCTGAGCCGTATGTGGTTATAGCCTAAGTTGGCATTCTGCGATCACATTAGTTTACAAATGAGTACCTTTTGTGGAAAACTGGATCCGCTTTTTGAGGGATTGTGCACACCGTTTAATTAGCTTGGTTTACCTACTTGATTAGTTTCCGGAGATGAATCACTGGACTACTAAATGAGCTCCTGACGAAAGTATTTCAGGTTACGCTGGCTTGGTCACGTACTCCGTTGCCACGGACTTCCTCAAAGGTTTCTTTTGGCACACCCATGCAGAGGGGGGCACAAGCCAGGGGAGATCAAACAATAAGTTGGAAGCAAAGTATGAGAGCCAGTACGAGCAAACTCAGCTGCGCTAGTCATTGTCATCGGTCTGGGTGGGGTCCCCGAGAGGGGAAACACCAATGGTTAGAGGGATTATCGGACGTGGCCTACTGGCGCCCTCAACGGTGCTTGTGCATCCGAACTAGTGCCTCCTTTCCCAATCTCCCCACTTGAAAACCCACTGACAACCTCGTATTTAGTCGTCAACTATGTCAGCTGCTCCCTCCAATGGGTACCTATCTACCGCATCTCCGGAAATCATTGGCGTAAGAAAAATGTGGTACTGTACGACAAGTAAATGGTTCTCACAGCTGATAATGATGATGATGATGATGATGATGATGATGATGATGATGATGATGATTACAATAGCATCTTTCTCCACCAAGTTGTGTCTCGATCTTAAATTTCCACCACACGGTTTACTATGCGCTTACCATAATCCGAGCGAAGTATGAAAGCCATTACCAGCAAACTCAGCTGCGCTGGTCATTGCCGTCTTCCTTGATGGGGACCCCGAGACGGGCCACATCAATGATTAGAGACATTGTCAGACATAGCCCAGTCGCGCCCTTATTGGTGCTCGTGCTTCCAAGCTATTGCCTTCAATGCATAGCCCCAAGTCATCGCTGAGCGAAAGTCATCGCTGAACGAAACCACGGCAGCTACAACCACCGTACGACGAGTACGCGGTTATTACAGCTGATGAATCCGAGCCCGGGTCTCCCGTACCTTGTCAACAATCTGATTGCGCTGTCAGAGAAATATGTGAACGGGGTATGTCGTTGCTTCCCCAACCAGCGTTGTCTTCATACCAGCAGTATGCGCGCTGGTAAGCCGCCATCTGGCTTTATCCGATGGAAAAAACGCAGACAATACAGCTTCCCAGGCATCCTTAGATCAGCGTATTAACTCACGCTCCATCAGTGTGGAATAACTCCGGATGGGATTTATAGACGATTACTTAGTGTCAACTTTGCCACCGAATTTGTTGGCCGACATCAGGGGTATTTATCACTAAAAGAATAAAGACAAGACTGAAAAGCATAAGCTCAGAGAGGAAATCAAATATCCAACAGATTGTAACAGATTGGAAACCGTGTAACAGAGCGATTCAGCCTGAAGACTCACACAAACTTGCCTTCAACTCCAACTTTACCCGGTGTTCTCGAGGCCTCCATCAAAAAGCTCATAGGGTTGACATAAGGGTGACAGAAACTCGGGGACTGCGTCTACCGGATGAGCCAGCTCCAAGAAGGGCGAAACCGGTCGTGGGCTGTCGAAGAGCTTTCGGCAACCTTGTGAGTAGTTTCCTTTATGAAAATATACCGCGATATCTCGAATATCGTGCCAACTGAAACATGAGGCAGTCTGTGTGCGGCACATTCAGTTGTAGAATATCATAAATGAGAGATTCATTTGAGTCTCTCGTGAAAACCAAATTGATTTGCAAATGAGTGCGTTCCTCGAAGATCAAAAGCAGTTTCAAAAGCCACTGACCAATCCGAAGGAATCTGTTATGGGAGGAAAAAGCGCACTGAATTCACCGAAGACAAACAAGTCGATTCACGTTACCAAAGCGCCCAACGATTGTCATGTGTCAAATGGGCTATGAAGACAGAGTGTCCGAACATACACCATTGAGTCCTTACGGGGAAGTCGAACCGCGGAAGGAAGGTTAAAGTCTGGACAAAGCAAAAGTATGGGTTAACAAGTACCCAAATTCGGTCAAGCACGGTTGTATTCATTTTCTCTGGAGTACCATAGATCCGGAGGATTCTCTGGGTTGTGAAAATGCGTAAAATCAGACATTAAGAGTCTCATCTTGAACCATATAATCAGCTTGTGGTTATTCAGTTGGATTACTCATTTGCTCCCGGTGTGCCCAGTCAGTGACGATGAAGCGGTAATCAGCTTTGATGCAACAGCTGTTTACGATACTGTCCCAAATGTCAGTAGTTTTTCACTTCTGTGTGTGCTGATATGTGTCTGGTTTAGAAAACATTATCTCTGTTGCCATTACTAGTGAAAGGAAGGAGGCCTTTGCTGCGGAGCTATTTATTGGAAAACACTTAATGAACAGTTACAGACGGGGAAGCAACACTCTCATATGCATCGTGTTTATAAAAACTGAATATCCATCTTCTTGAACGCGTCTTCCTGAAATGTCCTGGATACTCAAATGTAAATGACTGCTGCAAAGCAATTCCATAAATTCTGTAATAAATCTCACTTTTCAATAGACGCGAAGCCGACCCACGTGAAAACACTACTCGTGTGCCTCATCAGTAGTATCCAACGTTACACAAGTAGTGTTGAATTATATCTACCCTTAGGTCACAGTCAACAGTACAATGAACAGACAAACTGACCGATGGTGTCGCTATGGGCTCTCCGGCATAACCTATGGTGGTTAAACTTTTCTTGAATCTTGTTGAATCTAAGGCCTATTTATGATGCACCAGGCTGAAAGAAAAGAAGAAAGAGCTTTTTTAAACCGCTTGAACTAAAAATGCAGTTACGTAAGATTCTTTATGGAAAGTGAGTGTGAACACAAAGCTGTAAGCTTCCTGGACTTCACACATGCAGAGAGGTACTTGGATTGTGATTCTTCACATCCACACTACGTCAAACGCGCCGTTGTCAGATCTTTGTAAATCGTGTCAAGACACTATGCTATAGCAGTAAATGAACTGATACGACTCACCAGAGTAGTGCATCGAAGAAATACCCCGTGATTCCCATATGATGTACGACATACCGCTCAGTTGCTTTCTAGTAAAATCCGAGACGAAATTAGGCCACAATTCCAAAGCTTGTGAAAGGGAGAAGACCTTCGCTGTGGTGTTATTTATTAGAAAAGTTATAGACTATTGGACGGGGAAGCAAAACTCTCACTTGCATCTTATCTACAAAAACTGAACATCCATCTTCTTTTGAACATGTCTTCCTGAAGCTTCCTGTTATTCATTGACTGTTGCTCAAATCCAAGCAAATGTCACAAAGCGGCTCCACAAATTCCGCAATAGATCTCCCTTTTCCAAGAGACGCAAAGCGAATTTACAAGAAGAAACCATGCTACTCGCACGCCTCTCCATCAGTAGTATAACCGTTTGCCCACCATCGATTTTCATGCGCCTCCGTCAGATCGGCTTCGGCAGCGGGTCTAGTCAGCCGCTCTTCGGGTGTATCATGCCACTTACGAAGCTGCGTCCCATTTACTCTTTTCGATCCCTGACCATCTTGAATTGTACAGAGTTTTTTCCAACCACAAGTTTGCCTTTATTCACTATGCTTCAGTGTATCTACGATCCCAGTATCGTACCGCAGCCTACGTTGCTGTGCAGGTTTTACAGCAGGTGGACACATGGACGGATAGCAAGCCGAATGCGATGAAATGGCGCTTTGAAGCTGACTTGTGCCACCTCATCGGACTGTGCCTGGATGGACTGGGGAAATACAGGGCCGCTCTGGCGTTCTTTCAAATGGATGCACGTCTTGCAGAATATGCGTAAGTGCTGACTGCATAAACATGTTTGTGCTCACTATGAATAAATATATCTTAATTAGGAAACAAATTTGTGCCATACAGAGGGAGATGTGTCACGGTAGGTTTAGTCTTTGTGGAAGAATTCCGACGCTGATTTTTCGATCGCGAATCCTCGGAGGGGAACAAGATTTACAGCATGATATTTCAAAATGCTTCACGAGAGAACACATCACTAGGTGGTAGAGCCTAATATCACTCCATTGAGGAATCTGGAAAGATTGAGCTGGAAGTTAGCAGTCCAAAATTTGTCTTTACAGCTTTACACCAAAGCTTTTTTTTGTTGCAAATTCCTTTACTTTTCGACTCTTCAAATGCATCAAGTCAGTTTGATTTCTCTTCGGTCCCTGTGCATCATACGGATAGGTCGTCTTATTTACTATACTTTGAGAAATTCGTCATTTGTGGGGGATTTCTGGTTGTTTGGGGAATCTGGAAGACAAATTATCTCATCGAAAGTCCAATTGTCCCTGAAATGATACCTAAGAGAAGCACTATGCATTGCACTCCTAGAGGTCGTTAGGAAAAAGTACATTTACCCATGGTTTAGGCAGGTCCACCGCAACTCATCCAGGTCGTCCTTATCACTCTGCTATGATAGGAGTGGAGTGATCACGCAAGATGAAGACAAACTCTCTGAGCTCTAGGTGCTCTGCGGAGGTGGCCAGTGGGTCGAGGACGATGTTCTGGTTGGACCATGCCCTTGACTGTCGTTTTTGGGCAGCGACGCTCCCATTCCTTGGGGACGCAACTACCCGCTAGAAGATGTTCTCCTTGAGGGCAGGATATCTCCACTCTTTTGTGTTATTGCCGCTCAGGTCAGCAACATACAGAATGAGACTAGATGACTAGATGTGGTCTGATAGAGCTGCATAAGTCCCGGCAGACCGGCTGGAGATGAGATTATTTCCCGAATCGGAAAGGCCAGAGCAGCTTTTACCAACAACCGACATCTATGGCGCTGACGTGACGTGAGTTCCTCTGTCAAGGGAAGAGTCTACAGCGCGGTGGGGCGATCCATACTCCTTTATGGATCAGAGACGTGTCCCCTACGCGCAGAGGACATACGGAAGATGTCAGTGTTTGATCATCGGTGTCTCCGAAACATTGGTCAGGTCTGGTGGGAACATCGCATAGGTAATGCCGAGGAAGCGATCGAGAGGTGGACAATGTATGACCTGACAACGAAGTACGAAAACACTAACCAGTAAACTGATTCGGACGGGCAACTGGATGGGGACCCAAGGACTCAAATCACCAGTGGTTATTGACATTAGCGGAAATGGTCCAATCGCGCAGTCGGTGGCGCTCCGGCATCAAAGCTATCGTATTCAATGCGTAGCTACCCAATTTCCGAAAAAAACCTGAGCATGCCTTCGCCTCCAAGGCCTGGTTTTGTATTCCACTTTCCCGTTTTTCGGTGGTCGAAACTGTAGCAACCTGAATCAATGTGCTTATAGCTGATAGATTGATTGATTGAACTGAGAGTTACCCACTCTCTTCAAATTGTTGTCTTCACCTACCCAGTACCAAAATTTAACTCTCATGACTAATGACAGTAGCACTATTTCATCCCCTGAAATTAAGAACCTAATTCTGGAATATCTCGCGTATCTTCTGACGACAACTCACTTTTTAGCGACATTTCCTCGGCCCAAAAGCGTGCTCTGGATAATATCGGCCGTATGTACGCGCAACTTGGTTTCTACAGAGAAGCTCTTGTCTGGTAAGTTCAACTTCCCTCTTCACTGGTCTGTGTTTAGACCGGAGATGATTACTTTATGGTGGACTTGTTTGCTTCTACCTCATCTGGTTGGCGATCAAGATTACAACCGGTAAAGAAATCCACACTCTGTTCGTTTTTTCAGGATTGTGGCCCAAGTAGTTGTGATAAGCAGTTAGTTCCTTACCATTTGGCTACATTCAGCTCTCTGTATGGGCAGTCACTATAAGGTGGACTCGTTTGCATCGGTAACAAAACTGAAATACTCGACGCGATTGAAGTTGGCTCGAATCAGTGGGTAGTAAAGCTTGCTGGGATTCGCGTTCGCATCACTGTCGTACGGACAGTCCTCTCCTTGTTCTGGCGCGTTTATTTTCTGATGAATTCACACCAGAGGAGTGAAGCATTGGACTCGAATTTCCCTATTATTAGAGCCCATCAGCGGTGCGCAGTTTCAGTCATGCCAAAAGTTCAAATCTAGACGTCTGACTCGCGAGGCGATCGCGTTATCAATATTCCACCAGTGCACCCTTGATCCACCGGAATAATCGCTTCTGAACAGGCCATTGTGATCAAACGACATTGACGTGAGCGTGAATTCGGTCGATCCCGCCACTACTTACAACTAGTCCAAAAGTTTTCCAGCAGGTTGCAGGCGCCTGTGGTGCCATGCCAAAATTCAAATCTAGACGTCTGACTCGCGAGGCGATCGCGTTATCAATATTCCACCAGTGCACCCTTGATCCACCGGAATAATCGCTTCTGAACAGGCCATTGTGATCAAACGACATTGACGTGAGCGTGAATTCGGTCGATCCCGCCACTACTTACAACTAGTCCAAAAGTTTTCCAGCAGGTTGCAGGCGCCTGTGGTGCTACTTAACCTGGGAGTCCTGACAGGTGGACCAATCGGTCGACAGGCCAGTCAATGGGTCGTTGTTCAAGCCGTCGAGCCAACCAATCAAATCACTCAAGCGTGAACATGCTCACCTGTTCATACGTAAAAATGTACATGCGTCCAGCAAGCGCAGGTGAATTGCCAGTAAAAAGCTCACCTAGCATGTCAGAAGTGAGGAGTCAAAAGCCAAGCAGGGCCTCCTGTGGACTCACCATAATGATTGCTCCAGGCCAAGGGGGCGATTGTTGAAACTCGTCATCATAAAACCAAGACAGTATGGTCCGCACAGCGTGTCCTACAGCTGATTGTGGTCATAGGTCTGCCTTTAAATTGCACCCCCCACAAGCTGAAAGCCTGTTACAAGCTAATACATCACACTCTGAGTGCATCTGGCAGTATTGCAACAACTGATCAAACTACTACTTTAATAGTTTCAGTAGTAGCCAGATTTGTATTCACGTTATTCTTGTCTTGCCACTATTCTGCCCGCCATTTGGTAAGTGCGTTCCCTCGCACCTTGATGTGAACTCACCAGACTACTCACACCGGTACATGATGAACAGGGATTGTTCAAACGAGTAGTATGTATGCGAATAGAGCATTTTAAACTGTGTTTTAAGCTCATGGGATGCTCATTTAAGAAAAATATGAGCCAATTTTATCAGTCAGGAGACAATACTACCTTTAGCAAACTACCTTTCGCAAGTAGATGGTTATTAAACGAAATTCATGTATGCCTTTTATGTCCGTTAGGGCATCATCAGTCACTTATGAGATCAAATTCACCAGACGCGCAAACTGGTAAGCGGACTCGTGGTCCCAGTCCAACAGTGTTGCTCCAAGTGTCAACAATGGTAAATCTCAGTGAACTCAAGTAGATGGACAATATTACCCCAAGTACCGGGAGATTGCTTGGAACAAACAAGCAAATCGAATAAATTTATGATGTCCGCTTCTTATCACATAGTGAATCAGTCAAAGTGAAGAAAAACGTTTTGGAAATGCAAAGCAAATGTGTGGAGAGAACCTCACTGCGCCTTCGTGAAGGAGCTTGCCCTGAACTGTTCGCATGGTAAACGGTGATTCGCTGACATAATCTCAGCAACGACCGAAGAACCTATCAGAGCTGGTTTAAAACGGCTTCCTTGTGGGCCAGTCAGTCAGTTTATCACCTATAAACCACGTACCAAAGGATTCAGCTGGATCCAGCTGAAAAGGGGATAGCATGAGCGGGGTATAGCCAAGTATTGGGGAGATGGCATGAACAATCAGTTTGGGAAACTGGTGATAGCTTTGATGCGCGAGCTCCACGGGTTGCGTGGTTCAACCAGGTCTGCCACTGTCATTAGCTATTGGTGAGTTGAGTCTCGGGCTGCCCACCCAGGGAGACGGCAGTTGTCGACTCGAATGAGATTGCTGTTTGGTGTCACCATAGTTCGTCGTCGAGCTGTTCTCCTCACGACCACCTCCATTCAGCACTCAGCTGGATCAAGACAGATATGCGAAGCTGACTGTTCAGGAGCGTGCAAAGTACATGCCCTAACCAGCGCTAGATGGGAGACGGGCATGGCGAAATCGAATAGCTACTTTTCTCTCTCCATAGTTCCGAGTCGGCATATAGCATCAGGATCAAATAACTGATGGGCACCCACTATCTTTTGTAGTCAACTGCACAAATCCCAGGATGCACCTCACAACGAGTGACCTGAAGAGTATGAGTGGGCACCGAGACCCCTAAATTGTATAATCTATTTCTTCTTGAAGCACGCTGACGAATCTAGGCCCTCCGGGCTAAACCTTTTCCACATAATAGACTATCTGTTCATGCCTCAAGTTGGTGTGATATGCTCACTTCAATCTCTAATATAGACTGAGTGTTTTTGAACAGGGGATCCTGTGCAGCCTAGTGTATTTCAGATGCCTGATGGACTAGTGTAGTTGCCTAACTTGATCAAAGCTTATGTTAAGTTCTGGAATACCCAAGATCGACATGTGTTCCTAGTAGCCTTTTTACACTAGGAAGACTGTTCCGCACACATATCTTTGTACCTTAATGCCCCCTAATGAGCCCGGTGCGGCAAGTCTCTCCTAAAGTGGCCAGATACATTTGACAGCCTCATTTTCAACGTCACAATAAGTCCCTCTGAACTCACTGTTCTTCACTTCTTCCACCTTTGCACATTTAGCTGGTCTGAGAGACTGAAAACCGACGTGGATGGAGTAGAACTGGCCTGGTTGTTGTACCAGATCTCGTTGGCCTACACAATGTTGGACAATTTGGACGAAGCTTTACGACACTGTCGAACTTGTGTCCGGGTGGCCGAATCAATTGACTCCTTGAACTGGGCACTAAGTGGACACTTACTTCTCGCAACAATCCTGGGTAAGAGACAAATGATTTAGCTAGCTGATTGATATGGAGAGTTTCAAGGGAAGCGCTTTATTCGCTAGAGTCGATAGAATCAGAGTGTTGGCACCAATCCGTTGATGTTGTATGCGTTTGTCCTCGGTTTGGATTCCGTCTGGGACCCTGCTTTACTGTCAAGTGTTATATATGACATTCTGAATTTTTTGCCAATCTCGAATTCGACCGCTGGATTGATACCTTTTGTTTCATTCATTCAGCTCTCAGTGCATGTCGCGAAGACGGTAATACGCGACAACTTCGAGCAAGTTTAATGTCCTTGGAGGAAGCCTACAAATTTGCGCTCCGCACCAATCGCGTTGGCGTCATCAACCCTGTGGTACAGATCATTCGGACGGTCTACCAAATGATTCCGAATAATAGTGGTAAGATTTTAATCCCATGCAAGGACCTCTTGACACTTTTAGATCAATATATGGATTGCTGACTAGCGAACGAACTTGGCTGAGTGTGTACAGCAGTGAAGCATCGGTGTTGAACACTGATGTCATGCTGTCGATGATGATGATGATGATGATGATGATGATGATGATGATGATGATGATAATGTGAGTGTGGGGTCCGGAGCAGAGGAGCCTAAAATCAGAGCTCCACATATCTAATCTCTCCCCCTAATAAGCCCTAATAAAAACTGAAAATTCTCGGAACTCGAGTAGATATATGGTAAATTGGCTTCTGATGAACAGACTTTGTTTACCTCGCAGTGTCACATTCTTGTGCTTCCCCATGGATGCATCCATTTACTTTTGTCTTTACTTTGGTCACAAAATCAATTTCTACTTGTGTAGTTTTTGCAAAAATAACCTATTTCGTAAATCAAGTTCGGGTTTGGAATTAGTATTTGAGTAGGGTACACATGTGGTACAAACATATGCACTGGTTTGAAGGGACTACCCTTTAAATTTGAGGGGATGGGTGATATTGAGCTCAATTTTTACCGGCAAAGCTCTCAGTTTATTGAGATTCGTTCTCCCCTCACTGATTCTGACTTGAAAAGTGTACCTCACAACCAGTGACTTAACAATCACTCCGTTTTCAAGCACAGAGCCCCCTTAAAGTTCTACTGTATTCCTATCGTTCTAAGGAAACTGACAGTTGAAGGTCACCATCATCATCATCGACAGCATGACATCAGTGTTCTACACCATGGTTTATTTGAAAGTCTTATTGTAAAGAAAAAAGAGGGAGAGACTTAGTGCCAGATTACCACAAACATTCCGAGGGTGCATACACTCCAGACACTCAGTCAGGCGATTTGGACACATTCTTCAATGGAAGTACCTCTTGCACAACCGAAAACGCACTTTCTAACTGCCTCGTTATGGATACGTCGACAACAACTGACACGAGATATGGTTCTGAGACAACGATTGTCGAACACCTGAAGACGTCTCAGTTCCGCTGCTCGAATAGGCCGAGTCTCACAGCCATACAACAAAACAGCAAAAACAACAAAAATAGCTTGATACACACGCCCCTTCATATTCAGGGATAAACCATTCTGACGCCATAGGTATCTCAAATTAGCAAACACGGCCCGAGGCTTGCAGATTCGTGCATTCACCTAATATGTCACACTACATATTTAAAATTTCCTCTTAAATGCTTATTTTTTTTAAATTTCAGATAACGATCTCTTGGAATCGTGTTGGTCCTCAAGTTTGCTGAACCTGCTTCAGCAAGATACAACAAATCGGACGCAATGTAAGATTAGTTTGCCTTTAGAACAAATTCCTTTGGAAAATTGCATCAGGATTTGTTCTTGATTAGTTTGAATTATGTCTTGTGCTGAAATTGTTTATTTTTTCACCTGTGAAACAATTTACAGAGGAATCCGAGCTCTTCATCCTCGATGGCTGTAAGTGGCGCCTCGGGACACTGGAAGCAATATCATTTTGGTCGCCACATACTACGTCAGCCATTGGCGATTACCGAAAGGAACATTGTGAGCAAACTATCGAATCCAGTAGATCCAGTAATATCGAGGCACTGGCTACAGGCCTGTGCTCGAAGAGCGATAAATCCATTCGGCTGAGATGGTGACTGCAGTTCAACGGTTTCCATACATGACTGGCGTCTGTAAAACCGATATTTCACACCAGCTCCAGATATTTACGGGTTGCTCAATACACACGTAATCATCATGACAAAGCTGATTTGCTGAACCATTCCAGTATCGGTACTGTAACAGAAAGTCCTTAAAGAATACGCTTCCAATCAATCCTTTCCCGCGTGGTTCAAACCCGACCTCTGACTCTCTACTTCCCCTGTCTAGGCTTGAGAAAGCTGGCAGTATCATAGCCTTCGTGCTTCCTTTGGGTGGCATGGCAGCTAGGCACCGAAAGGGTGTTATGTGGGAGATATGATCCGGTGTGTGCTATCCCCACAGGACGTTTGAAGACCAGCCCATAAATTCAACAATCTTTCTACGTGCAGAGGTGGACGATGATATGCTGGACAGTCGAGAGATTACGTATTACGTACTCGCTCTTATCGACTAGGTTGTCCAAAAGGAAATATTTTTCTTTAACCCCAAATCCCTAGTGTCAGGCACTCAAAGGGTGTTTGTTGTCTTTTGGTCCGTTTTTACTTTGACGGTTCGTAAAACCTACGCAAACAGCCCTACAATCACCGATGAGGGCGGCGATGGCACATTTTTTGTCGCTTTGCAGACGTAAAAGAAGTTAGACCTCATCAGGTGTGGATCGTACATCCACGCAAAGAGCTCTAGTTATGTAGTCAGTTGAGTCGCCCTTTAGACGAAGCATCAAGAGGCGTTTTTCGGGTCCTGTATTTTTTTATGCGGGCCAAACTGATCGGAGTGGCCGTCTGTCCATAAACGATTTCTGATTACATAGCCTAGCCTGCTTAATCTAATAAACTTTTTCGATGGGTTTATCGATTTTTACAGCCAGCAATCCATTCGGAACGGAGTCCTGATCAGTCAGCTTTTTTTTTAAATTTTTAATATGATGGATGTACTGGGAGTACTACATTGTGATGACCATAATACAAATCAGAATGTGTATGCACTAGTAAAAGTTTTTAGCATGGTTGACAGTGGTGGGTTGCAACACGTATAAAAGCAAATACAATGCGGAAATGGGAGCAAGTCAAAAAAGGGAACTTATCGTCTGTGAGAGTTCCTTGGTGAAATTCCGGACGGCGGGAACATGTTCCATAATTGTCCGTGGACGTGTGGAGAGCGGTTGACTTCCTGCCCCCTGCGCGCGCGCGACTCTGTGTGTGCTGACTGTGTTGGGTTTCCCTGTATGTAAGTTCGTTTGCGTGCACGTGGGCGCGTCAGCACATGAGTAGTTGGTACGCTCACTAGACGGTGCAGGCAATCGACGTCTGATGAGACACCTTAATGTGACGTGGTTTTTGAGTACGAAAAAAGACAACCCTCGTGATCCAGTGAGCGACTGTGAGCTGAACAGTCAAGTATGTGGTTGCTGGGGTAGCTACAATTATTCTTAACTCGCACGCCCTCTCAACAAATAGGAAAATACGGTCAGTTTGTCTATGGCACTGGAGACATTCTCGAGTTTTTGTACTGAGGGTAATAGGAATTGTTGGATATGGTGGTAACAGGTAGCCATTCCGTTTCTTTGTTGGTAAAATGGAAGTGTACACTCTGGATGACCTCTGCCAGTTCATCAGTTGAAAGATATCTAGTGCCAATTTTGAGGTAGAAGCCCTCAGAAGATATTGATAAACCGGCTGTCCTGTGAAGGCATGGTTTCACGACTGCAGTTAGTCTGTTGTTGAAAATTGACAATGTGGAAAGTGTCATGTTATACGGAGGACAGCCGTCTTTAATAACCGAACACCACATCATTTGGTCGGATGTCACGTGCAGGGCATGGGCTAAACGAAGGCATGCCCTGATTGGTCAGAATGCCAGCCAATCCGAGTCAAGCACCTGTGACTCGACGCTTCTAGCCCCCTCACAGAGATTCTGGCACGACCTTGTGGAACACTCTGTGACTACCCTATAAATACAGTTGTAATAATCTTCCTTCGTCTCCATAAGGAGCTGTGTAGAGCTACCGTGCCTTTTGATATACCACAGTGGGTGGAGCAGAAAGCCAAAGGACCGGTACAGAGTTGCACCATCGTCCACCAAGTCACAACACATGTTGAATGCCTTCCTAAAGACCCTGTAATGTGACAAATAGTACATGTCATAGCAACGGCCGACTCAGTTGGGTGTCCTGTTTCATGGATTCCACATAAACCTAGTATAGTTGAAGTCGTGAAGTATAGTCGTGAAGGCAAATACCTAATCGATAAATTTTTCGAACAAGTATTCAGTCGAACTTCAGTTGATTTGATTTGATCCTTTAAGATTACATTGAAACTTGCTCTCACCCTCGATTCGATCGAAATCGCATGATTCGATTTGATCCTTTAAGAATACATTGAAACTTGCTCTCACCCTCGATTCGCGCAATCCCCTTTGATGTACGATCTATTTTTTATCAACAAAGACAATTCCCGAATTCCGCAATTGACTTTCAAATGTTCATTTCCCTGCATGTATCAAGATGCGCACAGCTGATCAGGTCCTCGTTATTCATTCGGCATTTTAGAGGAGAGGCTACTTCGAGCTACACGAATTAGGAGTTCACAGGCTATCAGACACGAAAATAAAAGCCTCACTAGCGCAAAGTTTGTAAAAAGCCAAAATCCTGAAGCATCCTCTTGAATTTTCCTGGGCGTTGTCTGAGTAATAAAAAAATGACCAACGAATACTAAAAAACGGTTCGGTAAGTCCTAAATCAGCTTTCCATCAGATGCACAGACGACGCTTGGTCGGACACCACTCGCACGTTTCGTTAGTAATATAAACCGTTACACTGGTAACATGAGTGTGCTAGCGCTGCACACGGTCCTCGACAGACATTGGAACTAGAACACGCATGAGAATATCTATCTATTCGAATATCTTTGCGGCGTACACAAAAAACTCGTTGCTCATCATACTATTTGTGGGAGGTGAACATCAAACTGACACAGCAAAGTTTTCTGATGATAGTTTTCATGGTTTGAAATCTCCCTAACCACTGATATTTATCCACTTTCAGTCAATATGAAGGCTTTAAGAGATATGCTGCTACAAGGCGCTCAATCCAACTTTGACTGGGGGGATCGGACCAAGGCCTCAAATGTGAATCGAAACGACTGACTAGCTGGAATGTATCAACGAAGGTATCAGCGAACGAGGAGAGAGATGAACTCACACAGGCATGTAAAATTTTGATGCTCATCAAGACTTTGTCAATAGCAGTCTTGTCAAAAGCGCGTGCATTGTTTTTGTCATTTACCGTACTCGATTACTCACCAGAAAGGCAGTGAGAATGATGGCAGAAAACTAAGCGGCACGAGTGTGCTCGGGATGGCTCAGTATTTAAAGCGCGATGTTCTTCAACTGAATGTATTGCACAGAGCGGTGCGGTGTTTCAGTTGGGGACTAAATCTACATGGAAGCGGCTCAATGGTGAGAGCACAAATTTACTGACAGGAAGGTCTGTGACTGAAACCCGATCTCTTCATCTTGACTTCTCCTGTCTAGGTTTGGACAACCTGGCAGCACCTCATTCCACTTGCTTCCTAAGGGTGGCATGACAGTTAGACACCGAAAGGGTATTGCAGCTAAACGATTATCTCTTATTTTACCTGAAGAGCCTCAAAAACTGGTCACTGGCTAGTACATCTGCTGATTCGCCAATCTGTGGTATCTGCTGCTGACCCGTTGTAGTGCCTAATGCGGCAAAAAAGACTCACGGAAAGGAACAGAACAGCTATATCTCGAACAAGCGAGTGCGAGAGTGTGAGTGCATGCGAGTGCAAGCTATTTATTGGAGGGAAACTGGCTGAACTTGGTCCAATGCTGGCGCACACGGTCTGGCTTGGGTACGAGGCTGCGACGCGCTGCATATTGCGGGGACGTTGTCTGAACTTGATCAACGCTGACTTGCGCTGTTCGGGTTTGATGCAGGGCTGTAAAGCGCTGCATATGGAGGGGGCGTTGACTATCTGGTCAGCATCTAGCGGAGCTGAGGGTCTGAGTAGATTTCGGGCATGCAGTGGTTGCTTTCAGGGAGCTGACCTTCCTGATCCTGGCGATCGAAGAGTATTCGGCAGCCTCAATGCTAGTGTTTCGTTAATAAAAAGACGGAACACATCGCTAGAATGCAAAATTCAAACGTACGTTGTATGAATGAAAAGAGATTCCTTCGCATCAACTCAAATCTCCGCTCATTGATGGGTGTTCTACTCTGAGCTGATAAATACGCATTCTCCGCCCCATATTGTGCAAGTGAACTAAAGAAATGCTCAGCCACACATCTGTCCGGCGAATCAGAAGTTGACGCCATTGAGGGGGCCGTTAGGGGCTCAATGTATGACTTTATTAGTGCACTGTTGATGACGACCATAATACAACTCAGAAGGTATATGAACTAATAACAGTTTTTAATGTGGTTGACAGTAGTTTGCAGAAGCAATTTGTAGCGTGTATAAAATAAAGGTAATATAAGATGTGGAGCAAGTCAAAAGGGAACTTATCGTATGTGAGAGTGCCTTGGTAAAAGTCCGGACTGCGGAAACGTGTTTTCTCCTCAGTATTGCTTCTACACGTGTTCCATAGTTGTCCGTGGACTTGTGGAGAACGGTTGACTTTCTGCGCGAGTTTGTGTGTGCTGACTGTGTTGGGTTTCCCTGTATGTAGTTTCGTTTGCGTGCACGTGGGCGCGTCAGCACATGAGTAGTTGGTACGCTCACTAGACGGTGCAGACGCATGAGAATATCTATCTATTCGAATATCTTTGCGGCGTACACAAAAAACTCGTTGCTCATCATACTATTTGTGGGAGGTGAACATCAAACTGACACAGCAAAGTTTTCTGATGATAGTTTTTATGGTTTGAAATCTCCCTAACCACTGATATTTATCCACTTTCAGTCAATATGAAGGCTTTAAGAGACATGCTGCTACAAGGCGCTCAATCCAACTTTGACTGGGGGGATCGGACCAAGGCCTCAAATGTGAATCGAAACGACTGACTAGCTGGAATGTATCAACGAAGGTATCAGCGAACGAGGAGAGAGATGAACTCACACAGGCATGTAAAATTTTGATGCTCATCAAGACTTTGTCAATAGCAGTCTTGTCAAAAGCGCGTGCATTGTTTTTGTCATTTACCGTACTCGATTACTCACCAGAAAGGCAGTGAGAATGATGGCAGAAAACTAAGCGGCACGAGTGTGCTCGGGATGGCTCAGTATTTAAAGCGCGATGTTCTTCAACTGAATGTATTGCACAGAGCGGTGCGGTGTTTCAGTTGGGGACTAAATCTACATGGAAGCGGCTCAATGGTGAGAGCACAAATTTACTGACAGGAAGGTCTGTGACTGAAACCCGATCTCTTCATCTTGACTTCTCCTGTCTAGGTTTGGACAACCTGGCAGCACCTCATTCCACTTGCTTCCTAAGGGTGGCATGACAGTTAGACACCGAAAGGGTATTGCAGCTAAACGATTATCTCTTATTTTACCTGAAGAGCCTCAAAAACTGGTCACTGGCTAGTACATCTGCTGATTCGCCAATCTGTGGTATCTGCTGCTGACCCGTTGTAGTGCCTAATGCGGCAAAAAAGACTCACGGAAAGGAACAGAACAGCTATATCTCGAACAAGCGAGTGCGAGAGTGTGAGTGCATGCGAGTGCAAGCTATTTATTGGAGGGAAACTGGCTGAACGTGGTCCAATGCTGGCGCACGGTCTGGCTTGGGTACGAGGCTGCGACGCGCTGCATATTGCGGGGACGTTGTCTGAACTTGATCAACGCTGACTTGCGCTGTTCGGGTTTGATGCAGGGCTGTAAAGCGCTGCATATGGAGGGGGCGTTGACTATCTGGTCAGCATCTAGCGGAGCTGAGGGTCTGAGTAGATTTCGGGCATGCAGTGGTTGCTTTCAGGGAGCTGACCTTCCTGATCCTGGCGATCGAAGAGTATTCGGCAGCCTCAATGCTAGTGTTTCGTTAATAAAAAGACGGAACACATCGCTAGAATGCAAAATTCAAACGTACGTTGTATGAATGAAAAGAGATTCCTTCGCATCAACTCAAATCTCCGCTCATTGATGGGTGTTCTACTCTGAGCTGATAAATACGCATTCTCCGCCCCATATTGTGCAAGTGAACTAAAGAAATGCTCAGCCACACATCTGTCCGGCGAATCAGAAGTTGACGCCATTGAGGGGCCGTTAGTGGGCTCAATGTATGACTTTATTAGTGCACTGTTGATGACGACCATAATACAACTCAGAAGGTATATGAACTAATAACAGTCTTTACTGTGGTTGACAGTAGTTTGCAGAAGCAATTTGTAGCGTGTATAAAATAAAGGTAATATAAGATGTGGAGCAAGTCAAAAGGGAACTTATCGTATGTGAGAGTGCCTTGGTAAAAGTCCGGACTGCGGAAACGTGTTTTCTCCTCAGTATTGCTTCTACACGTGTTCCATAGTTGTCCGTGGACTTGTGGAGAACGGTTGACTTTCTGCGCGAGTTTGTGTGTGCTGACTGTGTTGGGTTTCCCTGTATGTAGTTTCGTTTGCGTGCACGTGGGCGCGTCAGCACATGAGTAGTTGGTACGCTCACTAGACGGTGCAGACAATCGACGTCTGATGGGACACCTTAATGTGACGTGGTTTTTTAGTATGAAAAAAGACAAGCCTCGTGATCTAGTGATCGATTGTGAGCTGAACAGTCAAGTATGTGGGTGACAGGGTAGCTACAACTTCCACAGCCAATAACCCACCGCTATGCACCACTACGCTCTCCAATAACGCACTGATGATGTGTCGTTTGCAGTCCAATTGCCCAGCTCAGTGAACAAGCCAACGACCACAATTAAAAGACGTTGATGCTCTCCGGACACCCAAAGTGGGATCTGTCGAATCTTGACAATGCAAAGTCCAAGTGCATGTGGAACAGACGGAAAGATATGTCTAAGAATAGGTTCGATCTACAGGTCTTCCACTTACCGATCTCGTTCCTTTCCAAATCAGCAACCAAGGAATCAACCACTCTCTGTTTTCATTTCCAAGGAAATCAGTGATCACCATCTTGAACTACGTCCATAGTTTTCAGGGAAACAATGAGAAAGATATACCATGAACTCAGTGTCCTGTTTGAAACTTCAATCAAACCGGATCAGTTGAAGAGACGAATGTAAACTTTTGGTGATGCACAATCATTATCCGAGCAGAAGCGTCTATAACTCACAAGTTAGTCAACATCTAGCCAAGCTGGCTAACGAATTTCATAAACTTACCACCTGGTGCGAAGTGAATACCTCTTTCCAATCGTCATCATCATCGACGGCACGATTCAGTGCTCAACAGTAATGCTTCGCTGCCGTACGTCCATGATTTATTTGAAAAACTTACTGTGAAGAAAAGAATAAGGGTGGACTGGGAAGTGCTAGCTTACCACTATCGTTCCGAGGTGCCTAAACTTCCAGAGTTAGTTGTAAGTAACTTAGTTGTACATGGGCTGGGATACTGTCAGGGCGCTCACACCTAGACAGGAGGACGATTGGGGTCCTCAACCAAAGCTCAAAAGGCTCGAAAGCCAAACTGAAGGGCAGCGGAGTTTCGCGGGAAATGCAAATGCATTACCTTTTCTACGGAACAAGTCGCCACATGTTCCAACCCCCAACCTGGAAGACCAGGAGACTGTGTTTGTCAGACCTTTACCCATGGACCAAATTAGTATGAGAGACTCTGTGAGTACCGCGGGGACACCCCCCTCCCATGTAGCTCAACGAGTCCCCGAGGCACGCAAGCCGCCACACCCCAGTAAGGTCCAGTCTCTGCGCAAAGTACCATACCTTCCCAAAGCCATCCAACTGGCTCCTGAATTCTAACTCGCATCTACATTTTAAACTGTTTATACTCCACCTATCAGTTTTAACGAACGGCGTCTTTTAGAGGCACGGTCATCTTCAATGGCAGTAGGCCAGCAGTAAGCAGATCCTTTAGTGGAAAACGATCAGAAGGGGGGAAATGGGGAATCGACTTAGAGAGGCTTATTTTTCTTTGGCAAAAACGACCGAAAATGGTGAACCCACATCCAGCGGGAGTGAACCAAGTTGCCTTAAGGAAAGTTCCGAATGAAGCCACAGCAACCGATGATCATCACAACCATAGCCTGTCTACAAGTGAGACGTGACTTTGGTTCCTGAGCTTAGTATTATGTCACATTCCGTAGAGTTTACGTACACAAAACTAAAGTGGTCCTCATCCAATAGTTTGTCTTTTCATTGTCCGCTGCTAGGTTACAGCAGTCCGCTTTTGCTATGTATGTCATATTCCGTAGAGTTTACGTACACAAAACCAAAGTGGACCTCATCCAGTAGTTTGTCTTTTCACTGTCCGTTGCTAGGTTACAGCAGTCCGCTTTTGCTATCGCACGCCAAATGAAGAGTTGCGCATGAGCCATGTCACAAAACTCTGAAACCACTTAAAAGAACAACTAAATTGTACTCACGATTGTCAGATTTTTCACGGCAACATTTTGAATGATAATACAACATATTTTGAGTTTTTTTATCAGCCACTTTCGAGTTTGATGTACTAACACAAATACGGAAATAAATAGAAATTTCGATGAAGAGGCTTTGAAACACAAAAATGGAACAAGCTAGAAATTATGTTTTCATAAAGGAAACTACTCACAAGGTTGCTGAAAACTCTTCGACAGCACACGACCGGTTTCGCCCTTCTTGGGGCTCATCAGGTAGGCGCAGTCCCCGAGTTCCCGTCAACCTTATGTTCTACTTGAACCCTAATTGGACTGTTTCCGGGAAATACACTCATTTGCAAATCAATTTGGTTTTCACGAGAGACTCAACTGAATCTCTCGTTTATGGTGTCCTCCAGCTGAATGTGCTGCACACAGGCTGCCTCATGATTCAGTTGGCACGATATTCGAGATATCGCAGTATATTTTCATAAAGGAAACTACTCACAAGTTGGAAGTTACTTACGAAGATGTAAATCGTCCAGTCAGACGTCTACGAAATTCACGCTGTTTGATTTAAAACGATGACTGATGGTTGTTTGGAAAACAAATTTCAAATTTCTTCATAGACACAATGCACTACTCACAAAGTTGCTCAAAGCTCCTAGCCTACCTGATAAGACCCAAAAAGGTGAAATTAGTCGTGGGCTCTCGAACAGTTATCAGCAACCTTACGAGTAGTGCATCACGACTATGTATAGCGATATCTCGAATGCCATACAAACGGAAAATGAGGTCCCCTGGTTCACTACATTCAGATGGTTGATAACATCAAAAACGAGAGATTCGACTGTATTCCAGGTGAGTCTTTTCCCGTCAGAACCAAATTCGCATGCAAGTGTGTATGTTTAAAAATTCATTTGTATAAGCCATCGTAATGCTTTGTGCATTTTTTCTCGAAATGACGCTGTGGAACTTTTAAATTAACCCATGAGATGCTTCTCTATGTGTCAAGTAACGCTATCAGGAAGGTCAGCTTCCTGAAAGTGACCGCTGAACGCCCGGAATCTACCGAGACTCTCAGCTCCGCAAGGTGTTGACCAGACAGACAACG